TATATTTGTTGAAATATGTGGCCTATGATTCAGTGGGCTTTTATTTACTTATTAGAATGTGTGGTCAATTAAATAACTTTGTGTCTTACAATAAACACACAGTAAAACCTGAAGATGACAAGTCATTGTTGACAGCTTCTATAATTTTTAACTGAAAATGTATGAGTATTCTGAGTTTTACTGTGTTCATTATTTATGCATTGAATCAAAGTTGTAGAATTTTATTATCAAAGCATAGGAGGAAACCTCTGAGCTTTACATTGAAGTCCACTGAACAGAAAAAGTCCTCTCTGCAGCAACAAATGTCAGGCCACCTTTACCAAGGTAAGCAAAAGTATTGATGCGTGGAAAAATCCAATGAGATTTGCATCTGAAACCCAAAGTAGAATGTTTTAAGAAAATGTGGTTTATATAGATCTGAGATGTAACAAGCATTAAGAGGATTTTGACATGCTGTAAACTCTAGTGTGGTAAGAAATGTCTGCCTGCATTGACCCAAACCAGAATGCACGGGATGCACACACATTGTTTCTTTGATTCAAGTGCATTCAGCCAGCGTTCTCACCCTTTTTGCATGAAGTGAGGGATCTTGGATACAACTGTAGCATTATGAGAAAGCATGAAGAAAAGTAAGGAAGATGCAGTCAACTAACCATCAACTCAGAAAAACAGCTAGGACAGCAAGTAGCCATTGTTAGTTGAGTATTGCCTCCAAGCTTCCCACTGAATATCAGTGAGGCTGATTTGTTAATGTAAGGCCACAAAGAGTCATAAAGCTTATTCTAAGATGAATTAATACCTGCATCCAAACTTCAGATTATCAAAAACAATGCTCTAAAACCCCTGAGATCACTAATCTCTGTTACTAAGTGAAAGTCACACAAGCTCTGATATTGACAAGCTCCTCAGAACTAAAATTGTTGCAGAGTACCAGACTTTCAAGGTGGTCTCCCAAGGAAACAAAACCAAAAAAAACAAATGTCATGGTTTGAGCCTGGCACAGAGCCAGTGCCCCCATGAAAACACCCTCTCCCTGGGGTCTGCTGTGAGATGTGACCAGGAATAAGCAAAACAGGCTCCAGCTTAAATTCCCTACTATTCCCAAATACAAAATCAATGAAAAAAAAAGGATTTTTATGCCTTGCCAGATCCTTGCACAGAATATAACACAATGTTGCTTCCTGTAGCCCTGTGTATAGAAAACTGTCCAAGGCTAAGCACATTATTCCATAATTATATTCTTCAGGGTTTGGGTTTTTTTCATTCCTTTGATCATTGTGTCTCATCAGTTGTAACTACTTACTGAAAGGAAGTGAAATAGGAAATATCATGCTTTTCAATTGTCTGTGAGAACAGGAATAAACACATAGGTATGTAAATATTTCCCCTTTTGTTTGACAGCCCCCAGTCTTGATGAACAGATTAACCTTCTTGCAGATTTAGTCAAAGGAAGCCCAAAGCAGCATTCCTACATTTGCTATCAATAGCCAGAATTTATTTGCCCCAAATCTCTCATATAGTCCCTGTTGTACAAAGCATACTTATAAAAATGTATAAAATGAACAAGTATGGTCTCATGTCATTTAGCCTATAACAAGGCTGTAAGCCAATTTGGTAGCCCTGGCGTATTCCCAGGCAAACCTGCCTATTTTTCTCCCATTAGTCTTCCATTTTCCAATGAGTAACAAAAGGGAGAATTCTAAATGTTATCACTCCATGTAGAGCATAGCAGTCATCAAACCAACCAGGTTTCTTGGTGAACTGCACTGCCCCAAGCACACAGTCCCCCCTAGGTTGTGGTCGGGATGAATGAGCTCATTTACACCAATGAAGTTACTGGATTTAGACCCTAGATTAATACTAATCCCTTTGTTTTGCTTCACTACTTTAATGTGATATATCATAAATGTATTTAGGTGGGTGATGCCTGAACTGACATATTTATATTCCCAAAAGCCTGTAGATGGAATAGGAGCAACCCAAAGTTAATTGAGGAGAGATTTCTTATAAATACTCATGAGAAGTCACAGAACAAAGTACTCTCAAGTGACTTATCATTCCAATGAGTGTTTCTTCAAAATGAGCTTCCAGCACAGGGCAACGGCCCCAACTTAATGATTACAAGCAGCTAAATGTGAGAAGATAGAAGGTTTATAAATATGTGAAATAATTTGATACTTTAGTTGCAAATATAATCTCTGCTTTGATTTTGCATTAACCAGATCAATTTTTAAAGAATAATGCCTTAGGTTTGCCTAGTTATTTGAAGAACAAGATTGTTGAAACTAAGTGTTCACCAAGGAGTCTCAAGTAGACTTTATTTCATTCTTGATCTCTCTCTAGATGTACTAAACCCACTAAACTTACTCCATTTATTCTGTGTGAAATCAGAATAGTAATCATGTCTAGAATGGACTCTCTTTTCATTAGCCTTTCAAACCAGATGTCTCATAAAAAGAGAAGAGCAAAGGCTGGACCTTGCATGCAGCTATGGCACTTAGTGGCATGTGGGTATTTCATCCAAAGGAGCAGCAAATTGACTTCATTAACAGTGATTCTATTGGGAAGCTTTTATACCACAGTGCCAATATACTGTGCAAGCCACTAATGTGAAAAATTTATTTTCTGCATCAGACATACTGACACAAAACAAATTTAGTTGTCAGTAATAGAAAGAGGTAGACCCTAGAATGCTTGTAATTAAACTTCTTGAAACTTTTAAGAAAGGGGGAAAAAAAAGGAAAGCAGACAGCAATGAAAGCAATCAAAGCAATTTATTGCAGTTAAAGCAATGAAACCATTAAAAAAAAAAAGAATATTCAGAACCAACTCTGGCCACAGATCCCAACAGATCTTGATTCAGACAAGATCCTTGTGGACAGAGCAGCATATGGAATTTAATGCCATTTATTGCACGATAAATTAATCTGGAAAGGAAAACTCCAATCCTAATTCTAAGAGTGCTTCTAATTCCTTCAGAAACTCTGGAAGTGTAGACAGCTCACTGAAATCATCATGCCAAACTATCAAATGTAAGCAAGCTTACTGGTTAAGGAAAACAGGAGTAAACATTCAGAAATCAGTCTGTACTGAATATCATCAACTAACATTGAATCTAAGAAAGGCAAATTAGAAATCTTGTGCAGGGGAGACATAAAACCACAACCCCATAACACAAGACTGAATAGACTAAAAATTAATCCTTTAAGCATGGCCACAGCAGACAAAGGTCTATACAACTGAAAAAACTTTTAAGAAATGATACATTGTTTCTTGCAAGAGGAAATGGGCACTAGTCAAGTTTAATACTGTGAAGAGAAAGTACTTCTGTATACCCTACAAATTTAGTTTTGTCTCTTATTAAAACAAGCAGACTTAGGTGAGCCTAGAAGGCCACAGATCATTACTCAACCCTTTCCCAAAAGGAACACTTCCTGTCTAGATGGGGGTTCAATATGACATGTGTAAATACATTTGTTCCTAAATCCACACCAACTCAGCCTCCTAAACAGGCAGTGGTGAGCACCTGACAGCCATTCTACTTAATATCCTTGCTTGTGCATTCTAGGAAAGAACTGGCAGTAACAGGATGCACAAAATTATTTTAAGACCTACCTTCAAGAAAAATGTTTTCAGTATTAAGACATAAGCTACTGAAAAGCATATACAAGCTTTTAATTGCCCAGCAATGATGATCTTGTTTTTTAAGGACCTTCTCACTGAGAGTGCTTTACATGGAATATTACAACATTTTCCTTGTTAATTTAAAATAGGCCAGGAATGGGATTCTTGGTAACATGTTCTTTTCAGTTTGAGATAATTTTTTTGTAGAGAACATGCAAACATATACAGTGTAATGAAATTACTTAGGAGTTAGCTGATTGATCTCAGTGCTTTTGCATTACAAAATACTCAGATACCAAGAATAAAAGATTAAGAGGGCCTTTTCAATTGATTTGTAAATTTAAGATTAAATTTAAGTTAATCAAGTCTGAACATGGCAAGAATGTTTCATGGATGTAAACACTTTTGTGCTGTCACAGAAACGAAGTCTTCATGCAGAAAATACCTTAAGAAGAAACCTTCAAAACACAAAGTTTTGGTAGCATGCTTTTATTTTAATAATTACTCAATTTATTTTAATTAATCCACAAACACAGTCAAATTACAGCAGTTTTTGTTAGAAAATCTGTTTCAACAAATGGCAAGATGCCTGTTTCAACATGATCATTGAAGACATATCACTTAAGCCATTGCTTGTCTCAGTTCTACTTCCAAGATGATGCTTAAGAAGTGACAACTGGAATCATCTTGTATGAAGTCAAAAATCATCCACTCATAAACTGATGTCTAATGTCAGTTCCTGGCACATGTTGTCTTCATCCCTGTGAAGAAGTTCTATTTCAGTTGCAGTCAGCATCATGCACACACAAAACAGGTACCTGCTCTAAGGCTGAGCTACATGAACCTTCTACATGACACTAACCTTAGGCCAGAGCCTTTTTTTAAACAAAATGACTTGGTTTGTACAGGATGGGATCTGCATTTCCCATACCATTAGTATGGATACCATTCCAGAGGACCAGCTATATTAGAATAAGCAGATCAGTAACTATCATTGGATTTCCTGTGATATTTTTGCTATTTGTTTTTGGCTAAATCTATATAAAGTTTTAAAGAGTTACCACACAAGCTTTTCACCAGTTAAAGCTATTTTGCTTTGTCTTCCAGCAAGGAGTAAATGAAACTCCTTCAGGAATAGAAGACAATGCAGTCACTATTATCTGATAATCCTTTTCACAATTACATACCTGGAGACTAAACAATTTATGAGAAACTCTTTATTTAAGTCACAAATCACACAGGTTCACAAAGCACAAAGATTTGAGAAACCTACGATATTAAGATTCAGCTATCATAACAAGAGGATAGTTCAAAATCTTCCTACAAACTGTAAATAAAGTTGATTAGCAGCTTCCTGTAGTTCAGCAGTTATACAAATGTGTTCCTCCTAAGCATGATCCAAAGAAGAGTTTCAGCCTCACCTCTGGGTTTGCAAGAGAACTTTTATACCCCTCAGTACTGGCCACTTAAGACACTGGCAGACTTAAGAGGGCAAAGCATAAAAGGGGAGTAGATTTTAGCATGTTATAGTGTTTTCTTATCAACTGGGATGATCTAAAGTTACTATTTGTTTAAGAGATACTATAATTTGCTTGAAATACCGTTGGCAATTGTCATTAGACAGAGCACACTTACCTTCCAGTAGAAGTCATTATTTATTCCTAAGAAGTCCTGAGCATGGCTTCACATTTAGGTGTGATTACCCATGTCTAAAACATTTCCAGCATGAGGTTGCTATGTGAGGCCTCTAAAAAACACACAAAAAATTGTAAAATTACAATTAATCCTGTTTAACTAAATTTAAAACTCTAAACTAAAGTTTATTCTACAGAGTAGCTACTATGTTGTTAAGCATTTAAAAATAAATTTCCTGTGGAGTTGCAAAAGTCATTTATAAGAAGTTCATATTTAAATCAAAACCTAGAGCAAATGGCAATTACTGGTTCAATCTGTTGATAAGGTACGTTCATTAGCCCAGTTAAACTACATAGAACATACCTTTTCAACATTTTTAAAAATATACTTTTAATCATAAACAATGGAATGTTTATTAAGCCTAAATTACTTTCAGTGCTGACACTACTGAGGTAAACTACAAACCTGTGTATTTGATTGAATCCTTGCCAGATAATTCATTGCTACCTTGTGTCTACTCACAGATATATATATATATATATATATATATACACACACAGAGACACCTTGTTACAACTTACAAAGCACTCAAGGCAGAGACATCAAATGATACTGTTACAGGAGGACTAGAATACTTCAGGGAAAGACCAAGACAGAGGGGGTTTTTTCTTTGTTTGAACAATTATCAAGCCCTTTTAAACCCAAGCGCTAATTGCCTACAGTCTAAACATCACAGGTAACAATTGCAATTTTCTTGATGCGGCCCATTAAAAAAACTAAAACGCAGTGATTCAGATTTAAGGTTTGTGCAGCCCAATAGCTGCAACTTAAAATACAGAAGAGTGCAAATGTAGACAGTTATTTTGACTCAGAGACACAGGGCAGCACCCCATATACATATATATGTTGTTTTAAAAAACTCTCAGGATTCATAGCCCTCCACTTCGGAAGACCGAAGCCTTTTCTTACCAGCCCCAGGCTGCAGTAGGAGCGCTGAGCTCCTACTGTGTGTCCCTCGCCCATGGGCGTCCCAGGCGGTGAGCGCAGGCCGCCAGCGCTGGGCCTGCCCGGGCCAGCGGCGCCAGGGCTCCTGCCCATGGCGGGCATTGAAGGGCTCGCCGCTTCCTCGGGACACACTGCGGAGGGAGAAAGGCATCAGCCGGGCAGCAAGGAGACCGCGGGGGGGGGGGGGGGGGGGGGAGGGGGGGGGGGGGGGGGGGAGGAAATGAAGGGACGCGGGCCATTTGTGCCTCACGACAGGATGCAGGGCGGAGGGAAGGACTCCGCACTGGGTTTTAGTGAGGGAAAGCTGCTCTATCCCCCTGTGTTGACTCCCCGGAGCACCGCCAAGCTCCGAGAGGGCAAGATGTGAAGGGAAAACCACACAGGTGTGTCCCACCTCCCCCAGGCCCAAAGCCCGTCCGTGCGGAGGGTAGGTGGTTTCCCCTGAGAGGGGCCGCATTCACCTTACCGCGCCCACAGCCGGCGGACAGAAGGACCGAGCAGCGCCTCGCCGGCCACTAAATACCGCCGCGCGCTCCCGCGAGACCCACGCCGCTCCGGCCGCAGCTGCCTATTGGCGAGGACAGCGCGCGTGACCTCGCGTGGGGCGGGGCGGGGCCGCGCGCCCGAGCCGCGCTGAGGCGGAGGGCCCCGGAGCTGCTGCAGGGCCGCGCCACGGCCGCGTCTGAGGGGCCGGCCCGGCTGAGCAGCTGAGCTTCCTGCGGCGGCCCCCATGGGTCAGACCAAGGCTTTCGCGGGGACGTGCTCGTCCATTCCTCCCCAGGCCGAGTTCTGGATGCCCGCAGATGTTTAACACCGGGAAACAAAAGTGCCTTCGGTGCGAAGTGGCAACCGTGTAGCGGGTTTGAGGCACTAAATACCGCTGATCTCTGTCTAAACTCCTGTCTAAGCCGTGCTTAGGAGGCTTAGGAGCTGTCTGAGGATGGTGAGGTAAAGCCCCGAGCCTCGCTAATGCCCTGGCGGTGCCGTGCAGCTGTGCCGGGCTGCGCGCCAGGCGCGAGGTGGGGGCAGCCGGCCTGGCCTGCGAGCCAGCCCTCAGCACGGTGCACAGCTCTGCCGCTCTTCTGCCCCAGATAGAACGGGCCGCCCGTCTGGGGATGCTGCTAAGAGGGTTTGGAGTGAGTACGAGCAGATTAGCATAAACAGGGAATTAGTAGTTTGTAGGACAGAGACTTTGCAAAGCTGGTAGGCAGGAATCACAATATATCATAGAATGTACTGAGGTGGAAGGGACCCATCAGGATCTTCAAGTCCACCCCTTGGGTCGGCGCAGGACACCCCAAGAATCACACCCTGTGTCTGAAAGCATTGTCCAAACTGAATTGAATGGAAGTCCCTGCTTCTCAAATAAGTGTGTATATTGCTGATAATTCATACCTTCCTGTCTCAGTGAGGAGCAATATGTCCTGGCTCACGCTGAGTTGCACCTGTAAAGCGTGTAGAAAGAAAACAACGTGCTGGCCCGCTATCCCTAATCTGAACCCTGCATTTAAATCACTCTCAACAGAGCTAACCAATCTGATGCAGCCTGAAACAAATAGTCACATAGTTGCAATCAAGGGATGATTCTAGATATTGTTTCCTACCGCTTCTAGTTACCTCTTCTAATTCTTGACACTCAAAACATTGTTGCAGATTAACCCTGTGACAGTTTATTGTCTGTACATCAAGATTCAAAACCTGTCTTAGGACTCCAGGTAAATGTGTCTCTGGAGATAAATTTGTGAGACATGTAGTTTTAAGTCATTTCAAGTGGGCTCCTTTGCAATGACTATTTTCTGCAGTCAGACACGTAAGTCAGATCAGTCTTTTTCTGTAATGTAGTCAAAAAGATGAAGTGGCATTCAACCTTTAAATTTTTAGCACTTATGCCACTGGGATTTATGTCAAGTTTGCTTTCTCCTTTTCCAGTACAGAATGTAAACTGGCACTTCTGTTACACAGAAAACCAGCAGTCCACAGCAAACCATTTATCAGTATCCATCCTAGTTGAGCATTTTAATCATTCACATAATCCTACACCTTTTTCTTGCCCCTCATAAGTTTTCTTCTGTTTTCCCCATACAAAATTTGTATTGTTTGCCTTCTCTCTGGCTCCATGAAACTTTTGTGTCTGATAGTGGCACAACTTCAAGAGAAGAAATGCAGAGTCTACCTGACCTGCCTGTCCTATTCCAAAGCTGCTCTATAGAATAAAATAACTGTTCTTTAATAAATTACTGCAAGGATCAGGTGTGGATTTGAGCCCCTTTACTTGCATGTTAGTTCTCTCATTTCCTGTTATAGTGCTGTAACCACTAAGTTGCTGCCTACAAGGCTGCAGGCAGATCTGCTGTTTCCATGTATGCAGGAAGTAACTTTTATCTGAATTAACTTCTCAGCTGGGCACTGGGTCTGCCCACAACTTGGGTATTTTGGGGACTTGAGGGAAAGACCACAGTATTGGTGGATCTGGGTACAGGTTAATTTTAACTCACTGGGAGAAATACAGGCCTGGTCATGAGCAGAATTTGTAAGAATTCCAGTTATCATGGGGGCATTTTGAATTTTATTAAGTGGCAGCAGGGTGTCTTATTTTGTAGATTAGTGTTGAGCTTTTTAAGGAGGTGGGTGAGCTGAACTAATTTGTTCAAATCTTGAAGAGTGATGCTCTGATTAGCTAAGTCTCTCTTTGTCACATGCAAGAATTAAGTCTCAAAGTCTCTGATGCTTTGATGCTTCTCACAGAAGAAAGACTCTTGAAAACAACTTGTTTAACAACATCAGGAGTTTACCACAATGTGTAATTGTCATAAACATTTCACTTCAATTTTACTGTCTTTCTCCACAATGAAGGAAAATCAATCAAGTAAAACCTCATTGTGACCATCAGTATTGCAGGTGAATTACCTGCAAAGTAGTATTAGTATTCAGTAGCATTAAATAATTGTCATGTTTGAAATCTTAGAATGTAAAAGACTTTTATTTATATTTATATATATGTGTATATGTGTGTGTTTGTGTGTGGTTAAATTTGGTTAAAACTTTGAGATGTAATGTAATAAAAGTGTAATTTAATTTACGCACAATTTAATAGAATGTAAAGACTATTTTAAATTCATGCTGAAAATAGACTAAATGCCAGTTACAGCTTATCTGTCCTTTGGGCTTCTTTTGTCCTCAGAATGTTTGTGAGTTAAAATTGGAGCCTGTAAAAGAGAATAAAAATGATAAATACAATCTTTGCAGAAGAGGGAGGCAAGCCAGAATCATTATTTCCTTTTTAGAGGCAGAAATATCAATATATTTCTGTAAAAACTTCAATTTTCTGTTATTTTTGCTCAGTGAGTCTCTTTTTGTTTGATAAATTACTTCCATGGTTAAAAGGTTTTTTTATCTCTTTCCAGCTAATATGTATGATTAGAATTTAAATAGTGTTTTTCTACCTGAAAGCACATTTTGTATAGGTAAGAAAAATGCCAGTAAAGTTTTCTTGTGAGCTCCCTTGCTGAATAATATACCTGATGAAGAGGCCATTCTTCAAGAGTCTTCCTTCTGGAAAGGTGGGAATATTTTTCCTTGAGTAGTGAGAGTGGGGAAGGTTAGTATTATTTACAGAGCACTGAAGTTCTATTACAGTCACTGTTCCAAGCTCTTAACACAGTGTATTTGAAATTCAAGTGGAAGGAAAAGGGCAGGGGTAAGGTATGATGAGACAATCACAGCTCCAGGCCATGACTGACTTGGACCGGCTGCAGAGGCTTTAACAGCCTCTTCATAGACTAGAATGCAAAGGCTTTCACTAGAGAACTCTTCGACCCCTTGTATCTACTCAGCCAGCTTTTGGTACCTCAAAATCCATGTACTTGCATCTGTCTTGTTCTGCTGTCTTTGGCCTTCCAGACGTGGTGTGCGGCCAAAAAACGATGATGTCAGATGCTGTTGCAGTGCGGCCGGGTGGCAGAAGTGCTGCAACCTTCTTTGCCATGTCTCCTTCAGAAGCTGCTCAGAGTGAGGCCTCCAGAGCAGCCATTTCAAGCCCATACACACACGCACACACACACACATGCACACACGCACACACACGTGCACACACGCACGCACATGCACACACATGCACTCGCGCACACACACGCACACACACACACACACGCACACACTCACACACACACGCACACACTCACACACACACGCACTCGCATACACACACGCACGCACTCGCATACACACACGCACGCACCACAGACAGCTCAGCAGAGGACAGACAGGGAGGGTCTGTGCATGGTCTGTTCCAGGGAGGGTGTATTGCATCCACCCTGCCAAAGGGAGCAGAGACAGAATCATGTGGCCTGCATGACTTCAGCGTGGGGTCAGTGACAGTGACCTGAGGGCACAGCAAAGGACAAAGGGCAGCACCCTGAGGGGGGATGAGGGAGGAGTAATTGGGGTGGGCAGTGTCAGCTGGCCAATGGGGGAGGCAATCTAATGTAGATTGGCAGTAGTGCTGCAGAGCATCATGGCTTAGTCCTCTCTGTCGGCTGAGGTGGGGAAAACTTTATGATGTATTCTTCCAAGGCAAGGCCCTGGGGATGTCCCTGAGGGGGAGGAGTCAGACGATTCCACAAGATGCTATAAAGTGTTTTGTTTTCTTCTGTAAAGTAATTTCTGAGAAAAATGAAGAGGTGGTATTCTCTACTTGCCAACTCTAAAATGCTTAAACTAGCAAAAGATAGGCAAGATTCAGGGATCAATTTAATGCAGTTTTATTTCTATGCTTTATCTTTAGAATCCTGACAAGTCATACTATCACCAAAACATGAAGTTTTACAGTATTTTGAATCAAGAGAAATAATTTCTCAGATAATTTGAAAATGTTGGGTAGGGGTTGCTTTGAAGATGACAGTCTTAAAGAAAAATAGTAATTCCAAAGTTGGGTTGATATTTTGGTTTTAGACTGCACATTTTCTATGGATTTCCATGAATTGTTCATGGACGGCAACTCACTCTTGCCATTAGAATTTCAGGTGCAGATGGAGTGGTTTCCATGGACCTGCTATGAGCCATGTGCCACAGATTCAATCCATAGGCTGCAAGCTGGTATTTGGCATTGTACTAAAGCCACCAGTCTGCTCTGGAATGAGGCCAAGCTTCATGGAAAATCCTGATTTCTCATTCTCGTGTCTACACATTTGCCATTTTGTTAAAGATATTTTGCTATTTTTTGGTAGAACATAATTTAATATTAGATACAAAACATTTTTAAAATTGTAAAATTCTAAACCTACATTGTCAGCACTGTAATATTTCAGACATCTGAATTCTCCTATAATTCTTATGTATTTTCCATGCTTTCAGGAAGCCTTAGTATTGTTTTAACTCCCTTTTCCATTAAAATGACCTTTTAATTGGTTGGAAATATATCCTAAATTTGATCTGTTCCAAACATTTGTTCAGCAAACTGACTGATGATTACCCACTTCTGGACCCAAGTTTATTAAAAGAAAAACATAAATGAACCCTCTGTGGAATTTTACAAGATTTCTGGAGAGGAAATGCAATATCCTCTTTGTAGAATGAACAGATATTCTAGTCTCAGATTTGCTACCAACTCTCCTGGGTTAACTTTGGACAAGCCACTACATTTCTGCTGGCAATTTTCTTGCTTTGTAAAAGAAACTAATATTAACTTGCCACCAAATAATTTGACAACTCTGAGTGAATGCTTGCAAAATACTCTGAAAAGTCTGGTGGAAAATGTTACGGAAATCCATGCCTCTGCTAGCCAAAGAAGATTTTTACAATAGGTCCCTATTTTATGTAGTGAAATAGAAATGTTCAAGTGTAAAACCAGATGAGACCAAGACAGATCTAAAATTAAATGCAGGAGGTATTTTTTGACCTTTCAACAGAAATTATATAAGCACTCTTAGGTTATAAATAGTCCTTTGTTTTCCTTCTCTTTGTCTAACACACAGAAGAAACACAGGGTTGGTTGTTTGTTGTAAGGAGATAGGGCAATGCTTTGGAGTGGAAACAATTGTGCACTGTTCTTTATTTATACAATTCCTATAAAGTTTGTTACTAGTATCTGTTGCATTGCTTAGCACTTTTTTATCTTCAAACAGCGACAGGAATAAAGTTTCTATTCCTGAAACTGACAACAGCAGAAAAAAACAAAACCAGACACTAGTCCATTTCCAGCATGAAAGTTTCTTTCTTCTTTCCTGTTTTGATATGTCTGAAGAGCAAAAAAGACAGTGCTAGACTATTTTCAAACTGACACAAATACACTTGTATATTATTCTCTATATTTATTATTTATCTTCAGAAAAAAAAGACAAGAAAAGTGTCCACCTTTAAATGAAAGTATTTGTATTAGCATTAAGGAATATGATACTGAATTCTTCACAGAATGATGTGTGTGCATATTTACAAATATTCCCTTGAACAACCAGTAAGTGCTTAATCAGTAGCAATTTAATTTTGTGTCAAAAAAGTTTAACGAACAGAAACAACAGAAAACTTACCCTGAAGTCAATTAATTGGCATTTAAGAAAAAAAGAAGTATGGAAATACCACTTTTTTCTTTTTTGTCTTCACACATTCTATGATTTCTCTGGGGTTTGTATTATGGAAATAATGTTATTGACATTAAAATATACGTGAGGCAAATGGCTTTATTAGATAAGGCATTTTGTGTCATTTAAATTTTAATCACCTTTCAAACCCATTTGTTTGTTCCATAACTTTTCACTGATAGCAATTATGATTCTCCACAGAACGTTGGAATAAGCAGGCTACAGCAAAGAATACATAATTAGGCTTGTGTAATAACAGGCATCAGTTTAAAAACCAGGGATGGTGCAGTACTGTCCAGGCTACTTAGAAATGCACTGGAAACTAATCAGACCTTGATTGCTTCAGTCCTGACATGTTGGCTTAACTCCCATTTTCCCTGGTTATGTTGAGAAAACCTGTCATATTATGTGTAATCCAGTCCTCTGAGTTTAAGCAAATTAAACACTTGGGAGCAAATTCACACATAATGTAAGACCATGAACTTAATAGAATAATACCAAAGATAATTTTTTTTTTCTCAGTGATGTTATTTAATGGCTCTTTTGCATAGTGATTTGCGGATTTATGAAGCAATTTAGTGGCCCTGTGGACTTCACGTTATGTCCAAAAGTCTTTCTCCATCCTGTATGTTGAATGTCTGCAATGATTTAATATAACTAATCCAACTTAAGGAGGAAAGAAAATTCTGTCTCTGTGACAACTCGATTTTGAGTTTCTTTGCTGAAACTGTCAGCAAGATACCAACTAATGCCAAATTTGATACCATTTTTATAAAGCAGGCACTTGTCCACAGTGACCTGGATTAAGGCCACTTACCTAACAGTATTTTCAGGGCAGGAATTTATCTTTAGATGTTACTGCTGATGCCAGATTTTACTAGTAATCATAGATATTTTTTTGAAATTATAATTTAAAAAAATACTAACTTCAGAATGTTTCCTGTAAATGAAGCCTGTGGACCTAGGCTCTATAGGCTGCAATTATTTTATTCTAGCATCATGAAATGAAAGGTGTAGCCAGGAATGAGCATGCCACACTTCAGGTGCTGTTAGGAGCAGAGGTGTCTGTAGAAATGTTAGTAGTTCTCTCTTTATTTGAATGATTTCCCCAGCATAGCAGAGGAACAATAAACGGGCCTTAGGTTCTTGCTGAAAAAAAGCAACATCTGCTAAGGAAAGGGGAATTCTAAGATGAGGATTGCCCTAGCTGAACTCTGCTCTTGCTTCTCTCATAGATTTGCTATGTGATCTCCAGTTAGCTATTTAACAACCTTGTGCCTATTATCACGTGTGTGAATTTAATATACTTACACTGCTCTGCCTTGGAGAAAGGCATGGGCCTCGACTTGCTTGTGTTTGAAGAGAACCAAAGATTATTACATTAACTGTGTCGTATAAATGCTAGATGTTGTGAATTTGTGGTGAGCACATGGTGTGGGGACAGTCCCAAAACAGCATTTGTGAAGATAAATGTTGTCTGCATGAATGGCAATACAAAGCACCAACTGAGGGCAGTAAATTACATTCCAGCCTACGGTTCTGGATTTTGCAAGTGCCTGGGCTCCTGTATACCTCCTAGGTGGGGTGAGCATGTCCCAAAGCACAGTGCCGCCGTTCCTGCCACACATCCACGTCCTCCTGCCTTCCTGTCCTTCGCCCCGCTGCCTGCCGGCATGGCTGTGTTGGCACCGAGGCCGGGATTCCCAGTCCCGTGGCCATTCCAGGCCCGGTGATTAAAGCACCGCGCTCCTGTCGGAGGGCCCGTCCGGAGGGGCGGCGGGCGCAGCGCCCCCGCGCCCCCTCGGCCCCGCAGCGCATTGGCTGCGGCGGCGGCCGCCCCGCCAGGCCCGCTGGGTGCCCCGTGCCCGGCACTGCCTCTGACCTTCCCTTCCCTTTCCTTCTCTTCCCGTCCCCGGCGCTGTCAGAGCGCATCAGCGGGCGCGGCGCTGCGATGGAGCGGCGAGCGGCAACGGCAGCCGCCGGGAGAGGAGGAAGAGGAGGAGGAGGAGGAAGGGAGAGATTAGCGCGGTGCCGGCTGGCGCAGAGGCGCGGCTGAGCGCTCCAGCGGGAGCCCGGGGCCCTGCGGACCGTGCGAGAGGCACAGGCGGAAGGAGCGGAGATGCGGCCGCTCTCCCCGCGCTGCTGAAGCTCCCGGTCACTCGGCCGGAGGAGGGAGGCCGGGAAGGTCCTTCCTTCTCGCCGCTCTGCGGGCGCAAAGGGTGCCTGTGCAGTCCCCTCCTCTCGCTTTTATCCCAGCCCCGGAGCAGGAGCCGCCGCCGCCCCCTATCCCTTCCTGCGCTCTTCCCACCATGAGCGGGGCTGTTTTCACCTTATAAAGATGGCGGTGTGGGATCGCTGCAACCTTTAGACTAATGACTGTCAGAAACATCGCCTCCATCTGTAATATGGTGAGTGCTGGCGGGGGGCGGGCGGCGCGGCTGCCCCTGCGGGGGCCGGCTGGAGGCTGCCCCGGGGCGCAGCCCAACCGCGCGGCTCCCTCCGGTGCCCCAGCGGCGGCGGAGCCGGGTAGGCTGCCGGGAAGTGCCCGGGATGGAGTCGGCCGACTGAGAGTGACGATGTCCCGAGGAGTTTTCCTGGAGCAGCCCGGGCGTGGGCCGGGGAGGGAGGCAGATGCAGAACCGGCGCGAGGCCCCCGGAGCGGGTCTGACCCCGGCCGAGCCGTGGCCCGCCCTTCCTCCGCCTGCCCTTCCTCCTGCCCTAATACTGCGAAAGGACCAAAGTAGGGTTCTGAATCTACATTAAATCAGTGACCCTGTTTAACCCTCTCAGGCAGGCACCCTGCGCTCTCCTAGGGCCGGCAGCTCCCCAGATTACACAGAAAAGAAGGATGATTAGATGCCTAATAACACTTTTAGATCCCGATGCCTAGGTGGTTGCTCTAGGAAGTCTTTGCTTTAGAGCTAACTGGGTTTAACTTGCACTGCATGCTGCTCGAAGAGAACTGGTGTTTATAAAGTACTCTTGAATCACTTTGCTTTCTCAAAACCAATTAGGCAATTAGGAAGGAACAAGGAAACGTTTGTATTTTTGTTATGTTCACTTTGCTACTTTTCTCCCCATGGAACAGTTGAAACGATGCTTTCTGCATTGTGTTTGGGTTTAATTTTAATTCTAACAAACTCAGAGCACCTAATTTGGTTTAGGTTTTTGAAACTTCTTGGCAGGAGGAGGAAAAGCTCAAACTCTGTCAAAGACTTTTTAATACTGTGAGACTGTAGCAAACTTGCCAATTAAATAGTTGCGTGCTAAGCATCTCAATGCAAACAGAAGAGAATCCTATTTTTGTTCATTTTGGGTTTTTAGTCTATATTTTTCACCCTCATTTCCAGGTTCTTCAAGAGCAGCTACACACAGTTGCCAGCTTCCCTCCATGTGGTACCCCAGCATGCCTTGTGCTGCTGATGCCACACATACCATTCACCTGCCCTGGAGAATGGAGCCTGTCTCTAGGGTAGGGCAGTGGGTACAGCCCCAGAGGCCTGGCTCCTGCGGGGTCTGAGTGAGGGAGTGCAGAGTGCAAGCCCGCTCCCCTTCCATGTGTCCACACTTCCACCTAAGTGGGATTGCTCTTTTGTTGCAAATGAGATGCCTGGGAAATCCCATGCATAGCTTTCATTTGAACCACAGCCCTCCCTTTGAAATGCCTGCTCTGAAATGCAGAGAGGGTGAGTTGGTTCTGAGGTTAAAAGAATTAATACAAAATCCAGATTTGTGGTATAATTACCTGGGTGCTCACCTGTCTTCATCAACAGTAACTAGTTTTCTGAACTTTTCATTGTTCTTAATGATTTCCAGTCCAATGAGCCACAAATACTGTAAAGAGAGCTTCAGGAAATGGTACAGGATTGAGGAGAAAACCTAGATGCCCTTACTTTCCCTGTGAGGCAGGCTACAATTTTATTGCTGATTAATGGTGGATGTGACGCCTTGCAAATTTTATAAAAGAACACTGCATGAAGGGGAGCTGGAGACTCCTAGGTGGATGTAAGACCTTGGTATAAAGTACTAGAAACTGTGATTTTTTCATGTGCTTCAGACAGATGCACTTGCATGCAGCACGGTTCTCCCAAACACTGAACAGATTCACAAAAGAACTGATGAAGTTCTTGCAGGGGTGTGCTGCTCAGCTGTCATTGCCAGTATATCCTGCAAAAGTAGCATCTGAGAGGTGGAGAGACCAAAGGGAAGAAGGAGAGCCCCAAGCAGAAAAGGGGGCATACCAGGATTCATACTTCAAGACAATTCTAGCTGATGGTACTGTGACAGAAGGTGCAGTCTATTCAATGTTACTGATGTTTTAAGGCTACACATTCCTTGAGATCTGCGTACTTAGCTTTTAGAGACACCATGTTGTGTTGGTCACATTTAGTTTTTTCTGGATAACCCTCAGGGACAGGAAGTTCTTTTAGGCAAAAACAATGGTGTTTTAGAGAGCTACAGGAATTTGGGGCTGTAAGAGAAATACAAATACTTTCAAGTGCTGGCAACGTTGCATTGTGGCTCCTCCAAAAATGTGTCCACTCTGATGAGGTGATGGACTTGAACTCAGTGGTCTGTAGAAGGAGCTATGATAGCCTTCCAGAGGGCTAGAGATATAAAAGTAAACTTTTGCCTTTTTAAAACCTAAATATTTGCCCTAAATATAGTTTGATTTAGGACATCTGTAGAAATCTATCTAGAACAATGCTGAATTGCTGATTCCCAGACCTTGTTCCTGTACTATAATGTAGTGCTTGAAAACTGAGCTACGGACAAGTTGTGGACTAAGAAATAGCTGTATAGTTCTTTGGCAATATAATATGTTTTTCTATATAATGCTACATAATAATAGGTTTCTAAATTTTTTAATTGGTTAAACTCAGTAATTTAAAAAAGGGGGTTCTGGTCTTTATTTTTTCCCATTCCACTTTAGAGTGTTCACAGAGGGTTTTCCGTTTTTTGAAAAAAACTCCCAAAATCTAAACAAAAGTGTCTGGTTGGTTTTTAGGGGTGGTGGGGGAAGTAGAGGAAGAGAGACAGAGGCAGCAATTGGTCCTGAAATGCTTGTCCATCCCTGAATGCAACTTAGATTGTGTTTTCAATAGTAGTCCTTAACAAAGTTTTTTAAGTGTGTTTGTTCAATGTTTGCTCTCATGTCCTGAAGGGAAAAATATTACTGAAATTTAACTGAATTAATTGAAAAACCTGGCTAGCCAGCATTTTTGGATGTATGTTTGCTATTAAGTTGACTGCCTGATATTTGATATCTTGGGTTGTAATTTTGATCTTCTAAAGATGGTAGAGGTCATTAGTCTTTTCAGGAAGGATCAAAACAAGTGTAGTGAAGCAAGAAAGACAGGAACAGTATTTAACTCACTTGCAAAAGATCCTTAGTACTATATATTCACTGGGTAAGTTCTCACATGCTGAGATAGACACAGTAGGAACTAGCCAGTAAGAAACAAATATTTGCCTGGGGAAGCTTCCACTTGGCACATTTACTTGTAGTAAATATTTAAATGCACAACTTTCTAGAATTAAACAAAATTCCTCTATTGTCTTTTGCCAGATTTGTCCGCTAAGTTATAATAATAGCAATAATTTAGTTATTATTCACTGATTTGTTTAATGAGAATTAAGAGCTAAAACTTATTCTGAATGGGTGGAGGGGATGAAGGCAACTGTGCCTGAGGGATCAGTAGGATTCTTATGTGGGCATGATGGCCATGTTCACTGAGAAGGGAGGTGTATCCACAGGATGTTCAACTTACCTGCCCTTCAGCCCCTGTGAAAACTCATTCACTCTGTCTACACACCATTTTCACACTGAGGGATGTATACACTTGTATACCATGCATACAAGTTGTCATCTTTTATGTAGGACAGCTACAACAGATGTGAAGAAGCATAGAATACATTGACAAAACTCTGTTTGAGGGAATACCAACAGGCAGTGCCTCCTAACACTGGGAGACTGTAGGCACCAGCTAGGGATGTGCTGTAATTCTCTTTGCTTATTGTTTCTGTGGAATAACCCAATGACTCAAGTACCAAATTCTGGTTCATGGGCAGACAGGCATGCTGGCATTTCATGCTTACTGAAATCCTCTGCAGTATGTTTGTCAGTTGATGAGCTTTAGGTAAAGCCTTGAGTTCTGAGTTAAGCTCATGCTGCAGCTGTGGCCTAGGGATATTACTGTTATGGGCAGTGAAGGACATCTAACCATTTCAGAATGTATTGACATACATTTACTGAATCTGGCTAACAAGCTCTGTGGATCATATTTCTCTCTTTTAGAATTCTGTTGAGAACAGGTATTAATTCCCTGCCTTTCATATTTTTGTAATAGTATCTCAAATATTCCAATTAGAAATTCATAGTGCTCTGACAATTATTGAACAGAATAATCTAAACACATTCAGTGTTCTCTGATACAAGGTATTATCTGAGATACCTCATAGTTACTCCTGGTAGTTGTTGTATAGATATCCTTTGGAATAAAAGTAGCCATTCCTTGGATTAATTTTGGAATTTTGTGTTACTCTTTCTTCTCATAGTCTCTTAGCTATGAATTTCAGAAAAATAGCTGTTTTTCTGCATGAAAACATTCACACAATTCATCAGGAATTATGTGAACACCTGTGAATTGCAGCTTTCATTTTAAAATAAACAAACAAACAAAAAAACCAAGTGTTTCTAACAATCCTAGAAACTGGTTATAGAGAAAAAATATACGAGCCTAGGAGTCTCTACATTCAGGAAACAAATAAGAATAAATGTTGGAATTTTTTTGTTTATTTAATAGCATGATTTTGGAGACTAATTGCAGCATTTGTTTGCATATAGGGCATTGGCAGAATGAAGACTCAAACTACAGATTTTGAAAAGGCTTTATACAAAAAAACCCCCTATGATTTTAATGCTGTGGAAATTCTAAAATCCTGTTTCATACAGGAATAATAAGAATATTATTTGGCTACAGAATTGATCACTATGATTTTCAATTGGATTTATTCATTTGGACAACCTGCAGTGTATATTTCTTCATGTCTCATGTATCTTCCCATAAATACAGATAAAGGCAAAATAATACGTGCCAGACAATAAAAACAGTTATCTGAAGGCATATTTAGATTGATAAAGGAAAACAAATTTTTACATCGGATAAGATGTAGACAGTTCAAGCAATGCAATTTTTCTCAAGAGTGACAATTTCAATATGACATAGAAAATATAGAAACAAAAATATGAAAAGTATGGAGAATATGAAGTGTAATCTTTGTAATAACTTTCTGGAGTAATGAGAAACTTGAGAGTATGACTGACAAATGGGCACTAGACTAACAGACAGGAAGTGTGCATTCCATGAAAAGATGAATGGAAGTCCACAAAAGATATTTTTTATTG